TGGTAAGTAATATTGTACCTGTAAAATGAATATTGGTAGGTAATGTTGTACCTGTAATATTGCACTTACAAAATAAATATTGGTAGGTAATATTGCACCTATAAAATGAATATTGATAGGTAATATTGAAAATGAATATTGGTAGGTAATATTGCACCTGTAAAATGCATATTGGTAGGTAACATTGAAAATCAATATTGGTAGGTAATATGGCACCCGTAACATTGCACTTGTAAAACGTATATTGGTAGGTAATATTGCACCTGTAAAATGAATATTGATAGGTAACATTGAAAATGAATATTGGCAGGTAATATTGAAAATGAATATTGGTAGGTAACATTGCAGCTACCTCATAGGTGTGCTGTGAGGATTAAATGAGGTAATATGTGCCAAGTGCCCAGAACAGCACCTGGCACAAATGAGTGTCACACAAACATCCGGCATTATTGTTTGCAAAGATGTGAGGCCATCCTTTGTGCTCTGTAAGGTCACTCCCTTGAAGAAAGACGAAGTCATAAGATGTTGGCAGAGGCTTGGAGATCCCTCCTGCCTGTTCTTCCTGTGATGGGTGAATAGTGGCGCCCAGCCACAGGAGGTGTCCTGCCCAAGGAGGCCCTGTCCTGCAGACCATAGACCAGGCCCAGCTTTCTTGAGCCCGTGCTCCATGATGACACGTGGCGTTGCTGCCTTTGCCCCGTGCATTTCATGATCTGAGGCTACTAGGGGAGATATGGCATGACATGCGGTGACATCCACTGTGGGAGCAAATCCGAAGGACAGTTGATGTCTTCTCTTGGGAAGGGTGTGGTGAGCTTTCTGGAACCCGCCAGGAAGGTGGAGCAGGAGGGGGCTTGGAGGAATGACAGCCAATCCTGTGTCTCCTGAAGACACCGTGCCTCCCCTTCGGACCGTACCTCTGGGCTAGCACCCCACGTGGTGGCAGAGGAGGGCGCGGGCCTGTGGGATGAGATCACCTGCCTGGAGCCGCCTTTCTGCGACGCTTAGGGTCTGGCGCCACCGTGTGACTGTGGGCCGAGGCCACTTCCGCAGAGGGGATGGGAGGCCCTGCAGGGGGCGGCTGGCAGCGCAGCCTCAGAGGTCACCCAGGAACTCTGGGTTTTACACGCAGGAAACTGAGATTCCGAGGGCGAGCAGCGCTGGCCCAGCGGCTTAAGGGGGGCATGCCTTATTCCCTTCTCCCACCCCACCCATCTGCCTGGTTGTTTCTTGGCAGCTCCTTAGATCCTGAGGGACAGACACCAGGGAAACCTGGGAGAAGGAAGAATCCTAGAGCTGCCAGGACCCTCCTGCATGAGAGGCAGGGGCTTTGCACGTGTTGTGAGGGACAAGCAAGGTCATGGGGCCGTCTGGGTTCTGGTCCAGTCTGGGTCTCCCAGCACTGAGTGACTGAGGCAAGGGTGGCCTGCTTTCTAGCACTGGTGTCCTCCCCTATAAAGTGGGTCCAGACCTAATCATTTTGCAAACCAATACCCCTTAGTTGTCTACTGGGGACCCAAGGATTTAAGAGTAGCAGAGGAGGGGCAGGAGCCGGGGCGATGGGAAAGGATGAGCATTTGCGTTGAGGCCTGGCGGTTAGGCGTGGGGCTGTGATCATTAAGAGCAGCGGAGCAGGGGCAGGAGCAGGGTGGTGGGAAAGGATGGGCGTTTGCGTTGAGGCCTGGCGGTCAGGCGTGGGGCTGTCATGAGCTCCTACTGTGTCCAGGAGGTGCCTGGTGGGTGACCTGGGAGGCACCATGCTGTCCAAACTTGGTTCTGCCTGGACCCTGGTGCCCTCTAGGCCCCAGTATCTGCTTGCTGATTGGCTCAGGGAGGAGTGGCACCCACTTTGCCTATATCCACCCTGGGTCTTCCCACACCCTGGTGTGCTCACACCCAGGAGAGTGTCAAGATTGACTCCTCTTGGCAGGCATTCCAGTTGAATTAGCTTATTCTGGGCTCACTGGTTTCCTTTGCCCTGGCCTTAGTGGGCAGAGTGGCCTGTGGCTTGGGAAAATTGTGGGGTGGAGGGGTAGAACCAGTGCTCCCTTTGCCCTGGTAGGGCAGACCTGGGTGAACCTGAGCGCTGGCATCACTGACCTGGGACCCAGAAGGATAGGGTTAGTGCTGCCATATAACCATTCCTCCAGCTGCTGAGCCACCTGTAAGACTAGAAGAGGCAGACTCTGTGGTCTGAGTGTACCCCTGAGACCATTAGGTTTGTATTCCGGGGCCTGGAGTGATCTGTGGCTTGTGTGCTGAAGGTGCCACCTGTTAGGAGAGCTGGGTTTGGGTCCAGGGAGCAGCTCTGATCTGGGAGATCCACGGCACTGAGGCTCTGCTGGGCACATGGCTGTCCTGGACATGAGTGCCAAAGCTCTTGGCATGCAGCCCTGCCTTGGTGCCTCGACTGGAGCATTCTTGTCCCCAGTGCCCTGCCTCCCCATACTCCCGTCATGGTTGATCAACCTGACCCTTCCATCAGCCTCCATCAGGGGCTCACCTCAGTCCCTCCCAAAGTATCGATGATGACATCTGCTTCCGGGAACCTCCCTGCACACATTTCTTGCTGCCATCACCTCTTCCAGGCAGTCCTTTCCTTCAGATCCCCAGAGTTGATGCTGCTCCCCTCACTTTTGCTTTCTCCTTCAGCTCCTTCCTACTTCTCTCTCTGTCTCTCTGTGTGTGTGTGTCTCACTATGTCTCTGCCTCTGCCTCTGTCTCTGTCTCTGCGTGTGTGTGTGTGTCTCTCTCACCGTCTATGTCTCTGCCTCTGCCTCTGTCTTTCTGTGTGTGTGTATCTGTCTCACTATGTCTCTGCCTCTGTCTCTCTGGATCTCTCCCTCCTCCTCTCCTAGTGCTCTGAGACCAGGTGCAAATTTCCCCTTCCTCTTCCTGAGCCTCTTCCCTGGTTCCTTAATTTCGTGAACTCACAGGCAGGGACCCAGGGCAAGGCAACGCCTTGTGGAAATGCCATAGTCAGCAGGTGGCAGAACCTGGAACAGAACCAGAATTTATTATTTATTTATTAATCTTGCTTTATTTCATGCTAGAGCCTCAGTTTCCCCCATGTGTTAAATGGTGATAACCAGACCTGACCTGCAAAGTAGGCCAGGGACCCAGAGACTGTATACCTGGAAGGACTTGGCTGGGGGCCTTGTGCCCCAAACTTCCTCCCATGCCACTCCCTGCTGGGGCTGCCACTGCAGTGCCTGCCTCACACTGGTTCTCAGTAGGATTACACCTCCGCTCACTCCAGGGGGTGGGTCTGGAGAGAAATGAGGTGTCTATCCCAGCTTCCCCGGCCAGGTCCCTTCAGCATACACCCCCACAAAGGCCCTTAGGAATCTAGAGAGAAGCCAGGAACCCCTCATCAGATGGCGAGCAGGGCTCACTGTACCTGGCATGCGTGTTTGAGGTCACCCTGTGGCTCAGTCGCGGTGTGAAGCATGGGTTATTCTGGGGTAAGAGTAGACAGTGGAGGACCAGTGAGAGACTTCTGCATCATTTCAGGCAAGAGGGGCGGTGGCTGGGACCCTGATGGCAGCATGTCAGGGACAGAACGGACCATCCAGCAGCCCTGAATGGGTCCTTGGTAATACTGGAGGCCAGCTGGGTTTGGATAGGGCATCAGCCATGGACTGAATCTTTACAAGTCAGGCTCGGCATTTCAGAGGGCACAGTAGTGGGGCCTAGAACATGCGTTTCGCAGGACGGTCATGGACAGGTGTGTGGTTCACTCCCATTGGCGGTGGCACCCAGTTTATGCTTCCCGTTCTTGATCCTGACTGGGTACACACAGCTGTGCCCTCTGACCCTTGCTTCTGGGCAATCCCTGCCACACCCGCTACCCTGGCCCAGCCTTGGAGGCTGCTGGCTGAGTTTGGGTGGTGCCTTAAGTCCATCTCTTGCCTTGGAGACACAGTTCCAGAGTTCTGGTGGAAATGAGGCTGGGGTTGTTATGCGGGCCTGAGGGGATGCCTGCTGTGCATATCATCCCACTGATTAGTCTTCCCACGCACCCTGTGATGCTCTCATTCTGTCCCCATATGAAAGATGAGTAACAAGGACACAGAGCTGGAATAACTAGTTCAAGGTCCCCCACTCAGCAAGGGATGAGACCACGACTGCTTTACTTGTGAGGCCGTGCTCCCCACTACCTGCTTCCTCGGCCCCTTGACCCTCCCACACAGAGCCTGGGTGCAGTCGTCACAGGGTGGGCAACCCATCTGCACTTGTGTCCTGGGCCCTGCTGGGACAGACTCCAGGGCAGGTCCTGAGTCCCCCTGATGTCCAGGGATGGTATCCATGGCCTTAGTGCGATCCCTACTTGTCCCACTGTCCAGCCACAGGAGCCTGTGTGGCAGGGGCCACCTTTCGGAGCCGGCGCTGTTTCCTGTCTGTCACACATGAGAACTACACCTTCCCACTTGCCACCTGGGCATGGCCAGCCAGTGAATGGCACATAGTGGGAGCTTCACAAATGTTCATTCCCTTCCCTTCCTTTCCTCCTCCAGAACAACAGAGGAAACAACCTTGCGGGACTATTTCCAGAGTTCTGGTGGAAATGAGGCTGGGGTTGTTATGCGGGCCTGGGGGGATGCCTGCTGTGCATATCATCCCACTGATTCAGGCTCCAGAAGCTGAGAAAGCCTACCCCCATCCCTGAACTCACCTGAGATGCCCACCTGCAGGTCCTGGGAAGGCATCTGGCCCCACTGTCTCATTTTCCAGATGGGTGATTGGAAACCAGGAGGAGGAGGACTTGCCTAGGGGCCCATGAGGGGTCAGATCCTTTCCTGACCAGCCCCGCCCCACCCCCATGCCTCAACATCATGTCTTTTTATGGGGAGCCCCCAGAGCCCTGTCCAAGCCTCTGGGAACTTCAGAGTGCAGGGTAGGGGGATGCTGGGTCTGTTGGTTTTAGGGGGATAACAAGGGTCCTCCGCAGCCCCCACGCCCACCCATGCTCTCTGTGTTCTCCCCATCTCTCTGGGCAGGTATATCCGCACCATGTACCTGGGGATTCAGAGCCAGCGGCGGAAGGAACACCAGCGACGCTTCTACTGGGCTATGATGTACGAATATGCAGACGTCAACATGCTGCGCCTCCTGGAGACCTTCCTGGAGAGCGCGCCCCAACTGGTGCTACAGCTGTGCATCATGATCCAGAAGAACAGCGCCGAGACCCTGCCCTGTGAGTGCCTGCTGGCCGCGCCCCGCCACCCCGGCCTGCCCTCCACCTGGGGACCATGGGCGCCTCCCACACGCTTCGTGCCTGGCGCTCTCTGTGGGCATCGCCCATCCTGCTCTGAGTCTGCAGGATGCCCAGCCCCCAGTGCAGTGCTGACAGGGCCCACACCACACTCAAGAGCGGCACAGGCGTGTCCTGAATGTGTGTGGGCCAGCTCGGCACCCCCAGGCCACTTCATTCATGTGAGCAGAGCAGAGCCAGCTGGGACCCAGCAGGGTAGAGGGCCCTGGGTCTCCCATTGGGGGCAGTAGCCCCCATCCTTGGGTGCTGACAAGAGCCAGGCATTTGTACATCTATGGGTGGGGGAGCCGCAGCCCAGAGACAGCATGGGACCACAGGGGCAGTCATGTTGGGCAGCACTAGTGCCTTCAGACCCTTGAAACCATAAACCAAGCTCATAAAGAAGCCCTGTTTGTAGAGTAGCTGAAGTAGCTCTGCTCAAGTTCCAGCAGAGGAGAGGGCCCAGCAGGAGGAAGGGCTGGAGGCAGCAACACATGTGACATTTGAAGGGATGTCGTGGGCAAGAAGGATCATCCCAAAGGGTAGAGTTGCAGGGAGGTGGTTATCTATTCAACAGGTGAGAGAGAGTATAGGGAGCCATGCATGAACTGTCTTGGGAGGTGCTGAGTTTATCATTACTAGGAGAATTCAAGGCAGGAAGTTGCTGAAGAGACCCAGCCCAGAAGCTCCTGACTGCAGAGCGCTCTGTGAGCATGTGTGATCTGGGTAGCCAGGCAACCGTGGGGAGGGGCTGCTGTCTGTGCCCCAGCTCTCCCTGGCCAGCAGGACCTTCTGGTCTCTTGGGTTCTCACCTCCAGACCCCTCAGGTCCTCTTGGTCCCCCAGCAGGTCCTCAGTGTCACCATGCTCATGGACACCCACACGGACTCCTCACCAACGTGGTCTGGCAAGGGCAGCCACACCCCAGGCCTTTCTCTGATCAGATGTTCCTCCTTCCTTTTTCCAAGCTGGCCCTCCGTAGGCTCCAGTCCCCTTAGGTGCTTACGCAAAAAGGGGATTTAATCTTCAAAAGCCAGTGGAAGACTGAGCTGTTCAGGCTGGAAGCTGACTGGTTGCATTCAAAGCCTGAGGACTTGGTTCTGAACCCAGCTGTGCTAATGACAGGCTCACCTGGCATATAAGAACTCAGCTCAGGTGAAGCCTCATGTCCCATCTACTGAACCAGAACAGCCCTCAATGGAAGCTGCCTGGTGGAAAAAGGGCCCTGGGGTATCTGTTCATCCCAGAGAGTTGCTGGCTACAGTCTTGCTGGCCCATCACAGAAGCAAGGAGAAGGGGCCATGGGACACTTGGACTGGACACAGGAAGCCAGGCCTGAGGCCCACCCTGAGCTGAGGGCCCAGTTCCGCCCTTCAACAAGGCTTCAGGAAGCATGAGCTGCATGCTCCAGGCAGCCACAGCCTCTGCCCTCTGGGCACCCTCGGAAGCGGGAGGGATGTGAGGATCTTCAGCAGGTGCTGCTAGTAGGGTGGCACCAGCCAGCATCTGCCATTGAGCATCTGTAGTCCTCACTGTCAGGAAGAGGCCCCAGGTGGCCCAGGGGCTCCAGCTTCTTGGAGTCACAGCCCAGCCAGTGCCTGCAGGACTGGCAACTGGGGCCTGGAGAGGAGAGCTGGAAGGAGCCAAGTCAATGTCCAGCTTCAGCTGGGACATGCAGAAGCTAAGCGGGAAGCCACGTGGAGGAGGGCAGGGTTGACCACTCATCCAGTGCCTCCCTTCTTTCTTGGACACACCCACATGCACACACACTCTCTCCTGGGCACTGGGAAGAGCTTGGGAACATGGAGGAACCTTGCTGATGCTCCATCTTCAGGATGCCTGAGGAGCCAGGCCATATGCTTGGCAACGAACTGGTGTGACTGGTTGCCCACAGCTGCGGCCATGGGAGTCCCAGCCTCACAGGATCTCCGAGAAAAGATACAGTGTGAGTGTGAGCAGCATGCAGCAGTTTGAACAACATCATTTGTTCTCAGCACCAAGAGACTCACGTGTGATTGATTCTGGAGCAAGACTGGCATCACAGCATGTCTTTGAAGTGCCCATTCTTGCTCTACAAACCTAACCATCAAGGAGCTCTGTGGAAGTGAACACTGACCCTGGGCAGCAGCACCTGGTGCCAAGATGAGCTGCCCACTGGCAGGGCAATGTCTGGTGCCCTGGTAGGACCTCCATATCCAACCTGCCCTCAGATCCCAGGGCTGCTGCTCCCCAGCCCAGAGCAACAATGCTGTCATGGGCGCATTTGCTGGCACTGGGGAGAGACACCTTTCTGTCCCATCTGAGTCCTTCTTTTTCTCCAAGCCAACTCAGCTGCTGTCTGAGACTCCATCTTAGCCTGTTTGTGCTGCTATAACAAAATGCCTGAGAGTAAATAATTTATAAAGAGCAGAGATTTATTTTCTCCCAGTTCTGAAAGCTGGAAGGTCTAAGATCAAGGCACCTGCAGGTTCAGCTGCCTGATGAGGGCTGCATCCCTGGAAGGGAAGAACACTGTGTTCTTACATGGCAGAGGGCAGAAGGACAAGCTGTCTGCATGCTGTATGAAGCCTCTTTTATAAGGCCCTCAATTCCATTCAAAAGAGAGAAGTCCTTAGGGCCTGATCACCCCAAAAAGGTCCCAATTCCTAATCCTATCACATTGGCAACATCTGAATTTTGGAGGGGACACCTTCAGACCATAGCAGACTCTGCTCATTTAAAATGCCTTTTGCTGTTTCTGTTTCAAATCCTCCCTTCTCTGTACCACCAGGGCTGCCAAGTTATGCTTCCTTTCATCTTTTCCTCTTTCAATTTCTGGCCAGATCTTGACACCCCAAACAGGTGGAGCAGGTGGCTGGGTGGTATACAGGTGGGCCCCTGATGGGAAATTTCAAATTCAGGGACTCGGTCACCACTTATATCCTCTTGTGATTTTGGACCTTCATCTTTTCACAGCCCCATTTTCTCTTTTGTATACTGGAAGAAAGAAGAATCATACCTTATTTTCAGTGGGGAGGCAATGATATAACACCCAAGAGAGTACATTATAAACTTTCAAACTCCATGGGTACCTGGGGGTTGTGTTTATCATTTCCAGGGCCAGGTGGAGTCATCCTCTTACAGGGCTCGGATGGCTACCTCCCCATCATCAAGTCACCACCCACTGTGGGCCAGACCTGCTGGGGATGGGTTTGCAAAGACACCTAACCTTCAGGAGTTTATGGGCTGACAAGGGCCAGGTCCTAGGAGGACTTCTCCCCCTTTCTGGCCTTCTGTATCATCTGTGTCCCAGCTTCCTTGTTATGCCTTTCTTTTCTATAACAGTTTCTCAGATTATAAACCAAATCTCTGGAGAGGAAAGCCAGTAGGGATTCCCAAGGGGCAGTGGACGTTGCTTCCTAAATGTCCTCTCATGTGGGAGCCTATTGGGCTCAGGGTCTGTGTAAGGCCAGGGGCCACTTGGGCATGCTGACAAGAGCAGACCCCTTGGAAAAGGAGCCGGGAGTGACACAGTATCATACTGCTCTTGGGCCTTCACCCTAGGGAAGCCCCTTCTGGCTCCTCTTCCCTGTATTCCCTACTTTTGTGCTGGAAGCTTGGAGGCCAGGTGAACATTTCCCCAAGTTTGTTTGGAATGTGGAGTGGGTGTTTCTCAATACAGCATTTTGTAGTTAAATATATTTGGGACCTGGTGGACTAAACAAAGGTCAGTGGCTATCCTTGCCGTTGGTTGGTGGATCTGTAAGCCAGGGATGAGGCTTTAGCGTTAGCTGGGTTTATGGGAAAGAAGGACACCAGCCATTGCTAAGCATGGGCTGCCTGAAAGAGAGTTGGCATTTCTCTCTTACTTAACTTCTAGAGCTGTGTTCTCATCACCAGACCATTTTATTCTGCTAATAAATGCCATTCCCATCTTTTCAAGCTGCAGGAAATGTACAAGCTTTAAAGAAATAAGTTTAAGCATCAGAAATTGGAAGAGGGGAGAGAAACTGTGTGGACTTGGAAAAGACCTGTTGGTTGTATGGCCCCTGGGTATCTGGAGGGTTGCAGCGTGGAAAGCTGTTACTTGATGGCTGTTTGACCTTAGGGAAGTTACTGAGTCTTTCTGTTCCTTAGTTTCTCATTTCTAAAATGGGGATAATGCTAGCATTTGTCATAGAGAGTCGTTAGGACCGTGGAACATCAGGACAAACGTCAAGTGCCGTGCAGGGTGTCTGGCTGTTCTCTTGGCGGCAGCGGGGTCGTGCTTTCCTTGTACATGCACCTTCTGAATTAGCCTTCAGGCTTTACTGGTGAGATCTGTGGCTGACTGACCTTGCTTTTTTGGGCTTTATGATGACTCCTGTCTACTGTATATCGTTAGGGCTAGCAGATGGCTGGAAAGGTTACTTTGACTATCACGTTAATAGGTGAGTTTTGCATGGATTTGCCAGTGTCAGTCTCTCCCTCCCTTGCCATCTCTCCACCCTCTGGTTCTCTCTAATCACTGGGCTAACAGAACAGTCTTCAGCCTGTAAGATACATTTGTATCCTGTTTCCCCATAAATACAGACTCAAGAGAAATAATAGTAATATACTATGCAATTATTATACTGGAGCCATTTGAACATTCAGCAGAGTCTTCCTTGAAAGTTTAAGTAAACAGAAGAACAAAGAAATGACAGGAGCACGTAATTCTGACATGTCACATTTACACTGGTGGTGGGTCTTATGTCTGCTAAGGCTGCACTCATGTTCTGGGTTGGGACAGGGTTGGAAAAGCCAACAGTAGGAAAAGTCAGACAGGGCTGCATGCAGATTCCAGCTCTGTCACATATTGACTTTACAGCACCGGGCAAGTTCATTTCCTGTTTCCTCACCTGTAAATTAGGAATAACAAGTACTTTTGGGATTGCTGCAAAGGTCTAATGAGCGCCACACCCACCTCCACAGCATGTTGCCTGG